TCAAGGGATGGTTGAAGGACAGCATTTTTACCAGGCAACACAAAATGGCGCACGTGCGCACGAAATGCTTTCGTCTTTACTCGTCAATCATAAACGCACAATTGAAAGCGTTCTGGATTCAGATTTTACGATATAATAACTCAGTAAGGGCACCCTGGAAAATGTGTGCAAAAATCGAACCAAAATCGAATCAAAGAATCGTGAATCGAACCGAACGGTCATAATCGCGATTAATCGAGAATTCGGTTAATCGTTACACCACTAGGATACGAGTAGATACTTTGTGGTTTTTAGATTGTTCTCCTTATTTGTATTGGCCAGTTGACCTAAGCTTAATAGTGCGGAAAACTTAGGTAGAAAAACGATTTTGACAAAGTAATTATCTCGAAGATTTCATGCTAATAAGGCTGTTTAGTCCCCTCCGAAAGTCCTTTCATAATTCCAAGTTTTTCCCAGGAATTTCCATTAACTTCCTTTTACGTTTTGACTCAGTAATTTTCACATGTTGAGACAGCCTATTATTTAGCATGTGTTTTGCCTTAAACATCTCAATAGCTAATCTACGTTTGCCAGTGAACACGCCATAATATCTTAGGTAAACTATGTATTATTTTAGCCGCTCCCCGATCAATCACTTAGATGCAATCGATCAATTTCCGCAAACGTAACTGGAGAACACCTTCCCCACACTGATATGGAGAAAGTTATATGCGGAATTATAGCCTTGAAATATATGTCCTCCAAAAGCTTGGATGGTAGATGCCGCATTCTCTTAAGCATATTAATTTGATTACAATGTGACTTGCACATTTCATGCACTTGGTCCCTCCAAAGTAACCTGCTAACAATTACTACACCCAAGTGGAATAGGGTGAATTTAAGTACAGCGTTTCCAAATTAAACAGGAAGTATGGGCCCCACAAAAATATTCTTCTGCAAGATCATCACTTCCGATTTGCCTGAATGAAGAGTCAACTTTTTTTAATTGCACCAGCTACAGATCTCTGCGAACAGTACATATCTGTAGCTAAAAAGGAGTTCAAGGTCAGGGGCGGATCCAGGATTTTTTTGAGGAGGGGTGCATTCGTCTTTTGCTCTACTTCAACACCAATAAGCCACATAATTTTTTTTGCAGAATACCAGTTGTATTAGAAAATCGCAGGTCATCTCAGGGGGGGGGGGGTGCGCACCCCTCTAGATCCGCCCCTGAAGGTGCTTGTTTTATCTTTATCTTCGTAAACTAATGTGTCATACTCATTTCGCACAGGATCAGTTCTTTTATCGCCTCTTTCTTTTTTGGTCATTTGGTCGTTTTGGTCTTTCAGAAATCACTTGATCCTTTGACGTTCTTACGTAATTCATCTTTCTAATACTCTGCTTCTGCTTTTCTCGTGACTCTATTTACTTCATTCCTCAAAGACATGCATATATCTTTTCTTGTCTTCTTGACCACCCGTTTTTTGAAACTTGCGTAAAAAGGTATTGCATTGATTCATAAGTTTACGTATGGATCCATCCATTAACGCATAGCAGAGACTTTCTATACGAACTTTTACTATTCTCTCAGGCATTAAGTCTGCCTATTACGAGGAAAAATATCTTTATTATTGGCGATCTAAATTCAGGCTTGTTGAGGAAAAGAGGAAATGGTAGAGCAGTTTCCGAAAATGGTACAAAACTCTTGAATGTCATTAACCAATTTGGACTCTTAAATGTCAATAAAGAGCCAACCAGAATAACAACTACTTCTTAAACTTCGATTGATGTACCATGACAAGTGATGACAGCAAGGTTGCAAAAGCATAAACTATGCCTATTTTAAACCTTCTGTACACCGGTCGGATGCGCTACCCACTAAACTAGGGCTATTTATAGCCCAGCTCGCCACGATTCCTTCGTAGTTCAGTGGTTAGAGCATTCGACCAGTGTACGGAAGGTCATAGTTTCAATTCCTGTCGAGGACTCAGAATTTTTCTTTGTCTCGTGCTCATGATATGTTGATCGCATCACCTCTCATTTCTTCACCAAGCTTAAAATTTACTATCTTTCCGTTTATCAACGAATCAAATGCCCAGGGGGTTGCCTGTGGAGGCGATGTTGAAGCTTCCATTTGACCGATACTTGTGCCTCACATAACGAGGAGAATAGTGAAATGTGAGGAGAATTGCATAATAAACCGTTATTAATCCCTACAATATATTATCTTTTATTAATTCATTCAACGATACATTTAAATCATTTTTTTACAGATTATATTAGATAAAGCTATAATTATTATTGTATACTCCATGTAGTTACTATGCTTTTACTTTTCTTGTACGTTATTCATTTTTGATACTTTGATGGAATGACTGTCACATTTTTGGTGTATTTCTTTGTCGTCCAATGAACGAGTTCATTGCAACATCTGCTCCGAGAAGTTTCAATAGCACATCTGTGGCATCTACTGGAAGGATGCTTTGAAGAAAAAAACAGAGCACATGTCAGAAATATAACCTTATTATCACTGACTTGTACAAGTTATTACAAGTTATTACAAAACAAACATTTCAAACCCAGTACCATACATTATTTTCATGAAAAAAGTCAACCATTCATCAATCACACCACGATGGAAATTGGAAAACCCTAATAATGTATCTGCAGTTGTAGCTTGGCATCTAAACATATTCAGGTATCAAAACAAAGTACTTTCAATTGATGGCTTGGATATATATCCAGGGGAGAGGGCACTCCCATTTCAAGTGATGGAGATGATCGATTATAGTGGTGTAACGATTAATCGAATTCTCGATTAATCACGATTATGACCATTCGGTTCGATTCACGATTCTTTGCTTCCAAGTTTCGATTTTGGTTTGATTTTTGCACACCTTTTCCAGGGTGCCCTTATTGAGTTATTATATTGTAAAATCGGAATCCAGAACGCTTTCAATTGTGCGTTTATGATTGACGAGCAAAGACGCTAGCATTTCGTGCGCCATTTTGTGTTGCCTGGTAAAAATGCTGTCCTCCAACCATCCCTTGAGAATTTCCAAATAAGGCAAACTATGTGCGACACGCTCTTTGTCAGGTTCTCAAACATGGTGACGAACCAAGCGACTGTGAATCCTCCTGTCCATGCTTCTATTCTCAAATTGAGGGTTTACGGTTGAATGTTGTTTACATTACGCGTTATGTTATAAGAATTAAGAATCATACATAATCGAATCGAAATAATCGAAATCGAAATCGAATCGAACCGGAAGGATTATGAATCGTTACACCCCTATGATCGAATGGGAGCAAAAAATTTATCATAAGGTCTAAAAACCCTAAAAGATTCCTAGGGTATCCAACAAAACCCGAAAAAATCCTTGGACCGAAAATTAATCCCCAAAAAATCCCATGCCGAATTTGTGGGCATTAAAATTATCCAGAGGTATTAGCCTATGTGTAGCCGCACCCTTCCCCCGACAAAGGAAAAACGGAGAGAAGGAGCTCCCTCTGTCCGTTTTTCCTTTGTCAGGGGGAGGGTGCGGCTACACGTACGCTACACGGCGGTTACTTTGCTCAGATAAGTCGGCTACTTTTCCCCCCTAAATTGGAAGCTGGGAATTATACATTAAACTGATGATCACAATTCTATCAAAACTTAAATTAACTTGAACATACTTTCTGCTTCAATGTTAAATTTCTGAAAAGATTGAGTCTTACTGCGCATTACGTGCCCATTTTGATGGGAATTACGTTATCTTCTGTACTCAATTTAGTGCCCAGAACACTGGAAAACGCAGGGCATTCAAATTTCAAAATAATGGGATCAACGCCCCCAGACCCACCAAGAAGAAGAAGACTAGAAAGCCCCTTGCTGATTATAGCAATACACCAGCCACTATTATTTTGCCCTGGTGAACAGTCCATAATATTCATTGTTTGAGTTTCTGAGGTGATTAGTATATAATTTCGTATAATTCTTTTTATTGTAACTGTGGAATGAAGAAATCGATGCAAAGAAGGTCTTCGCATTTTAAAAGCACAACTAATATGCATTTGTATAAAGAAAGCCTGGAAAAAAATGAGGGTCAATCAATCAATCAACAACTTTATTTAAGTGTCTAGTCTTCTAGCTTGCCGTCAGGCCTACTAATCGGGGACACTAAAAAGTGGTACATTGCATCCATACCTCCCCACTGATAATCAGTTCATCTCTTTACAATGGCCACTTTATACCTCTGTCCCCAAGATGACCATTGTTCCCTGTATAATATTTACTATGTGGCCTTACAGGGGGTAGAAGCGACGGAAAAAGTGAAGAACAGCTCCCCCCAAAAAACTGTCGGCTGACTGTTGGTCGACTGTTAACCAACAGTTGGCTGACAGTCGTTTACCGCCTTTTGCAAACATTTTCTGCCAACAGTCGGCCACCGACTGACTGTTGGCAGCATGTCGGTAATGTGTCGGCTAAGTGTCGGTTGAGAATGCCTGTCGAATACCAGAAAAGCTGGCCTCTGCTTGCAATGACCAAGTTGTAAGCAGTTTTTTTGTCTCTGACAAGTGACTACGTAATAAAATAATAAACTAACTGAAAATATCAACCAAAATAAATTCAAACAGACAGAGATTGAAAGTGCATATATGACATGCTAAAACGAACCGCAATGCATTATAGGGTGATTTCAAAGATAAACTTATCCAAGACATACGATGATGCAATTTTAGCCCAATTTGTGGTACATCATGCGACTGATTCTAATAGAACAGTAAGGGTCGAATGACGGTGATGTCATTACCCTTCTCAACTTTTTAAGTGTCGGTTTACTGTTGGTCAACGGTCGGTTTTACCAAAGTGACAGGCAACATGGGCCCGGAAACTGGCAACAGTCCTCTCAGGAAGCACTGATAATAATAATCTTATTTTTTTAGAATAGAAAGCAACGTCTGTTTACTTTTGCATTTTGGCTGTTTTGGCAGAGAAGTAAACAAACTCTTTTCTGTTAATTCTAAACATATTCTGTTATTTAAATGTGTATCAAACTGCTGTTAACATACTGTTGTAAAGCTGTCGAAAAATACGCTCCTCTGGGCATCATAAGAATCGTCTGGTTCTTTTCTATAGCATCCACAACTTTCGATGCTGCATACTCTGGAGTTAATATACTAAATCCTAACAAATGGGGAAACCTGATAAACAAAGACAACAACAACCAAGAGATCACTTAATACACTTGGTGGGTGTATTAATTGGCCATTACAATCAATTATGATGACAATCATGACCAATAATCATTCAAAATCATTACTTAAAAAAACAAAAAAAAAAAGATTTGTCTAGAGGTCATTGCATCAAGAGTGATGAGCATCAAATTTCTCCTTGTAATATCAATGCTTTGTAAACCAGAGTGGCCATGAGAATTACAGACATGATTCCACAAGATGAATTTGCTTGATATTTTATCAACTTCCCCCAACTACTTCTGCAGGAAATAAATAGGGGCAGCAAACGAGAATTCAAATTTTGATCTTGGGGTTTAAAGGGATGATATACAAGTTTGAGAAAATAGAAATGAGCATTTCATCGACTTTTTAGGTATCTGCATCTGCTTGAGTCTGCTTTTAGGTGGACATTAAAATAAAGGTTTCATTTACAGTAAATGAGAAATTGAAATAATTTTTGGACTTTGGCTACTGTTAGCTTAATAAAAGGTTCTCGCTTAATACAGGTTTCACTGTAATTATTCTAACTATAGATGTGCATGTACATTTAACTGAATGAAAATTAATAATATAACCAACCTAAACTTAACACCTTCAAACATTCCAGTAGTTATAAGTGAAGGGCAAACTGTGGTGAATTGAATACCAGTAGATCCTACGCTTGAGAGTTCTTGACGTAATGCCTCCATGAGTCCAACAGCAGCAAACTTTGATGAGCAGTAGTCAACTGCACCAGCCAGACCAGTCTTACCAGCTATGGATGCTACGCTTACAATGTGACCACGTTTACGATGACGCATGCTAGGTAGGAATTCTCTTATGGTCTACAGAGAGGAAAATAATTTATTAAAATTTAATCATGGCCCTTTTCAGGGAAAAGGTAAAAATATCTGTGCCACGTTTGGTCTTATGAAGTACAAAACGTACACAACTGTACTTAATCAATAATGGTAATAATCAAAGTTGACATTTACTGACCAATCTTGATCTCAGGTATTTACAGTGTGATTCTCCTTTGACAAGTTTGTGTAGTTGTCATTCACCCCGTAAAATCTGCAGCAATGCTACACTGTACATATTTGTGCCCCAAGTTTGGTCATTGAATCAACTTCGTCCCATTTAACCTCCATCCAGTCTCTGTGCTAAGAGCATGTCAACATGCAGCATGCAAAGAAAGTCATGTCCGATAGCCCGGGGCTAGTGGATTTTGCTATTGGGTTACTGATTTTTGTTCTTAACTTGCCCGACAGGCAAATGCTGTTTTTTGGGGAAATTGACATTAAAGAAGGATTGTAATCAATCCTGTTAATCAAAATGGGTTTTGGGGCTAGTTGAAATGACTTGTGGGCTAGTACGTGCTAGCTACAGCTTGCCTGAATGGCAGATTGTAAAACTGTCTTTCTTTGCACCCTGACATGTACATCAACTTCTTCAATTGTTGTTTTTTCTTTTTACAAGCAAATAAACTGTTGAAGAACTACTGGAAGAACACTCTTGTAGTGACCAAAAGGGTTATACAGGGTGCAAAGAAAGTCAAGTTCCTGCGTCTTAATCTACAGACACTGACCCTTCCGCCTTTTGGACTACGTTTTTTTTTTTTTTTTTTAAATAATTCTTTATTGAAACAAATTGATATTAATACAGCACATTAGTTACTTACCTACATAATTATAATGTTACAACTAATATTACTAATACTAATAAAATGATACAACAGATTAACACTGCTATTATTACAACACTAAAAAAAAATGTTTACAAAATATAATGTAAATAATATATTAATTACATACAGAAAGTGGATGCATATTAAAACCTTTAAATAGTTAAGCATTTACAAGAGGCGACACAATCCATTTAGCTTCAAAGAAATCCTTTGTTTTTTTTACTATGCAGACTTATATATTTTTCCGTTTCATATTTTACAGCAATTTTCTTTTTAAATCCATATATATTCGGAAGAATTTGACTTCTTCTACAATCCCACAAGTACAATTTCCCAATCATAATTAGATAGTTTAGAAGCTTAGCAGAAGGGAAGTTTTGTCGTATCATTCCAACTAAGACATCTTGCAACGAAAGTCGAATGTTTTCCTTTGAAAGTTGGTGCCAGAATACTTCGAAGTCACGCCAGAAATCTACCGAGAAAGGACAGAGATATAGGAAGTGATATAGCGTTTCTGGTCCAGATGAACAAAATGAACACGAGTCATTCAATTTAAAGCAAATTTTGTAAAGTTTAGCATTAGTATAGAGAATGGAGTTAAGAATTTTGTATTGAAATACCTTAACATATGCTTCAAGAGCAACACTATGCGGGATCATAAAAATTTGTTTAACTTCCTCGAGTGTGAAATGAAATTCATTTTGCAGCTTGTTTACATTAGTTGGAAAGAGAGCCTTTCTGCTTACAAGTAAAGTATAATAGTCTTTAGATTTCTTCTTTGTGACATCAAATATATTGTCGTCAATTTTTAGAGAAAGTTCACCTGTTGTTGATTTATGAGTACAATTTTTTAAAATGGAAGGAATGGAGTGTCGAAGACCTGCCCAAACTAAAAAATTAGTTTTAGAAATCCTGTTAGAAACTAAGGAAAAGGAATCTTTGTTTAACTTAATTCAAAGGATAGATCGCTAATGTGAACTACACCAGCTTCGAAATAGCTTTTATAATAAACTGTTTTATTATTAATGAGTATTTGTTTGTTATTCCAAAGAGAATAACGCTAGTCTTTTTCTGAAGAGAACGTATCTCTAAATTCTGACCACCACTGCAGTAATTCTAGATAGAATAAAGAAATATTCAGTGGAAGGATACTAACATCATAATTGCAATGAAATAAGAAAAGGCCGCCAAAGCGTTCTAGATAATGTGTCAGATACCTTTTCCAGGTGCCATCATTTGAGCTAGCTATTCTTTTTAATCATCAATCATCTTTAATCCTCCGTTGGAGTATTCATTTATCGCCGATCTCCGTGTGACTTTATCACGACCATTCCATAAGAATTGAAATAATAACTGGTTTAGCTGACTTACAAATTCTTTTGGGGTAGGTATTAAAGATGACAAAAAAACAAATTTCGGGATTAACAGAGATGTGATAAGTGTAATTTTGCCATAAATAGAAAGTCCTCTAGAGGACCAAATTCTAGTCAGGTTTTTAATACTGTCTAATCTTTCTATGAAATTCTTTTCAAGAAGCAATTTTTGATCATACGTGTAATAAATTCCTAAAGCCTTTATCGGTTCGTTAGGCCATTTTGCCTTTTGGACTTTGGACGGTTGCCATCATCCTTCCAATTCAAAACTATATTGAAATATCTGTACTTCCAAATGCGTAGGTGGAGGGGGGTTCGCTTATTGCAATGATTTGGCAGACATTCCCCTAGGAAGGCATGGTTCTTACATGTAGGGTATTTCAAATAACGGCAAGTGAACTACGGTGGGAAAACCAAAGTTATATGAAAACACACTTTCATGATCACTAAGAAAATTTACATACTGCTGTGCTTTCAAATCTTTCCTTTACTTTGCACAAAACACTTGTTTTAATGAAGGCTATTATTATTCAAGGAGATTTTAAAAATATTCAAGGACTTCTGGGGGAAATTCAAGGACTTTTCAAGGATCATATCCCACAAATTTCCAATTTTCAAGGATTTTTCAATCACACATTACCATACCCCACCCCCACCCCCACCCCAAAAAAGGAAAATAAATTTAAATCCAGGGTAAATGTGAACCCCAACACATGCAATATTACAAACTGTTTACTAATCTAAAGAGACTTACCCAGAAGTGTGCTAGGGAGTTAACATCAAAAGTGGCTGAAATTTCTTCATCAGTGCAATCCATAAACTTCTTCCCTGACACAATGCCAGCATTGTTTACCAGCAGAGAAACTTCACCAACATCCTCTTTCACGCTTGCTGCTGTTTCATGGATTTCAGTTTTATCTCGCAGATTGCACTTGTACGAATGCACCTCACCACCAGCAGTTTTAATTTTCTTTCCTACAGCATCAAGCCCCTCTTTATTAACATCCCATAAAACCAGTCTACAACCTGTTGATTTCAAGCAACCATCAAGGGATTGTTACCTCTGTGTCCTGCAATTCCCTAATACATAAAAATCCCCAAAGATGCACAAAAGTTCATGGCATGCGTCCCATAGGACACAAAGATCGATCGATCAGTCGATCATCTTGTTCTTTTGATTTCTGTGGCTGTTCTTGCAGCTGTTGTTTAACAATGCATATATTTCTTATAGGCTTTAATTTGTTGTGCTTTACAAAAGAATATCTTTTGTCTGTCTAGTCACATAAAGGGCCAAGAATTTTCAATTTAGGACGTATTGTTTTTGAACTGGGACTCAATGCATGGTTGTGGAGTGAGACTGATGTTTTGTTCATAAGATGCATGAGTGCCAGGATTCACCTTAACTATTTGTAACAAAATCATTGGAACGGACAAATGACCCAGATGACAGCACTTGTCTGCAAGCAGCATCTTCCTGTCACTTTCTTGATTTTGGCTCACTCAAGAAAAACTCTGCATGCATTGAACTGGGATAGATCTAAGTTGAGCATGCATACCTTGTATCTACAGTTTCAAAGTCAGGGCTAATAGCTGTGCACCTGGCAGTCAGAGGGCTCAGTTGTGACTATTGGTTCATGAATAAACTGATGCTTGCTTTCAAGACTGAAGTTTGGGTTGTGGTGACTTCAAAGGGTAAACACGATCAGGCAATGCCTCCTTTTCTCCTCCTTAATGAAGAAGAAGACTGAAGGAGACTCAAGGTGCTTTCCATTTGTCAGAACTGACTGCCAAACCATTCCCAACACAATGAGAATTTCCATTTTAATCAAATCTCTCCAGCCAGATCAGTCAAATCCTAAGAGTATGCACCAAGGAAATGGTTCTTCAGCAAAAACTCTTGGAAAAAGCGTATTTCATTATCAAACCCACTGGTTTTTTTTTTTTTTTTTTGTATTTTAAGAATTTTTTTGTTTTAAAATGTTTTACATTTTTTTTAGATTCTGACTTATGAACACGGAACACGTAAAGAAAAGATACAAAAAACGGAAAGGAAAACTAAACATTATACATCGCAGACTAACACACAATTACATACTTACAAAGAAGAAAACAAACGAAACAAAAACCCAGTACCTTCTTTTCTATTTACATGAAAAAAAAGTAAAATAAAATAAATAAATAATAAATATTAATAATAAATAAAGTAAGCGGAGAAGAGATCGTATGCTAATCAGTTTTATATTTGCCCCATTTCATATTGTGGGTCTCCAACTTATTGTTTGACTTAGCGATCATTGTCTCTATTAAGAAGACAGTATTAATTTTGGAATGAAGAACTCTGATGGAGGGAGGATATTTGTTCTGTCTACAAGAGTATAGATATTGTTTTGCCAGTAATAAAATATGATTCACAAATATCTCATCCTCACATCCAATAATACCAAACAGTATATCTTTGTCTGAAAGATTTTCAATCTTGACCTTATGATCAACAAGCCATTTTATAACCTCAGACCAGAAATTCTCAGTATAATGACAAGACAGGAAGAGATGTTCGAGGGATTCGTCCGATTCACCACACAAGGAGCACGCTGGAGATAGTATAATACCAATTTTGCATAAGAAGGTATTTGTCACAAGGCATCTGTTTAATAATTTATACTGAAACTCGCGAGTCTTTGTATCTAAGACAACACGATATGGCAAGCTATAGATCTTTTTCCAGTTCAAAGTATCATTGACAAAATTAGCATCAAACTTTAGTTTAGCAGTTGGTGGAGTGACGATTCTGTTTCGAAGTTCTTTATAAACAATTTTCGAATACGCTTTTTCAAGTAAAACAATTTGACCACTTAAGCGTAACTTAATCTCATCACGCAAATTGAATGGTGTGTCACCTGTATAGATGCAGGATTTCAACGATTCACGCCATTGAGTTGGTAGAGCGTCTATTAAAGAGACAAGCCTAAAAACATCCAGCGGCGAAAGGTTCAAGACTCTCAACTCGCTTTTGATTATAAGTTCATGTTTATTCGAGATTAAATCACCCACTGAAAGATCCCTTTCTCAGCGAGATTTCGAAAATACACAGACTTGTCACCAACACAAATAAATTTGTTGTTCCATAAGATAACTTTTGACAAGTCTTTTCCATTTAAATCCTGTATATTTAAATTATTTACCGCAGAGCACTTTGCAAAAGATTTTAAGCATTCTTCATAAAAGGCTGGTAATTTGATAGTCAATTTCTTCAAATCAAAGTCGCAACATAAGACTAATTTACCACCAACAGGTTTCAGATAATGCAAAAGGATTATTTTCCATCCACTCGGTTGATCATTTGCCAATTTCTTGCAGCAAAGTATTCTTTGTGTTTCAATTATGGAGTTTAAATGTGGGGCTTTAAGTCCTCCATCTTCGATATCACTGATAGGTGCAGAGCGTTTAACTTTATCCTTTCCTTTCCATATAAAATCAAAGATAATTTTGTTCGCTTCTTTCACAAATTCTTTATCCAATGATATCAAGCTCGTGCGATATAAGAAGATAGGGATAATAAAGGTTTTGACAATTTGAATTCTCCCTATGATAGTCAAATCCCTCCACCTCCAGATTCGTAGCTTAAGTTGGATGGAGCTGATTAATTCATTGATGTTTAGCTTTTGTTTTGCTTGAATGTCATAGGTAAAATGTACTCCTAAGATTTTAGCGGATCGTTTAATTTTTATGTTGTTCAGAGTGGCTTCTTGTACGGTACAGGCCAGGTTACCCAGTAACAAAAGCTCTGTCTTTTCGTGGTTAACCTTTAGGCCAGAGCAAGTTCCATAATCTTCTATAAGTTTAAGAAAGTTTGTTAGAGAGAGGTCATCCTTTAAAAACCCAGTCAGGTCATCTGCGAAAAGACTTAATTTGATCTCTTCTTTATCGACTTTAATACCACGAATGTCATTACTGTTACGTATGTTAACACATAAAACTTCTAATGCTATAATAAATAAGTAAGCAGAGAGAGGATCTCCCTGTCTTACTCCTCTTTCAACTGTAAAGGATGAAGTTGCAAAGCCATTATTTAAGACACAACTCGAGACATTCTTGTAAAAAGTGTGGATCCATTGAATAAAAGATGGTCCAAAACCAAAAACGGATAACGTTCGAAATAAGAAGTCCCTACTAACTGTGTCAAAAGCTTTTTTAAAATCTATACAAACCATTCTTCCGTCAATACTGTATCTCTTTGAGAATTCCATAACGTCCTCTATGGTTCTGACCGCGTCGAAAATAGTTCTACCCTTTACATATGCAGATTGATTGAAATGTATGATGTTTGGTAAAACATTCTCCAATCTCTTGGCAATGGCTTTTGAACCAATTTTAACATCAGCATTAATAAGCGAAATCGGTCTCCAGTTTGATAAGTCCCTTTTGTCTTTGTCCTTCTTTTCTATTAGGGTAATAATGGCTTCTTTCTGAGAGTTTGAGAGCTCACCATGATCATAAGAGTAGTTTAAGCTGTCTACTAATAGCTGTCCTAAGAGGCCCCAAAAAGCCCTGTAAAATTCGACTGTTAGTCCGTCATTGCCTGGTGACTTGTTACTTTCAAACAGCTGAAGACTTTTGTAACACTCTTCAACCGTTAATTTTCCCTCGCAAATTTGAACATCAGTTTTAGGATCCGTGATTAGAACTCCATTATCGTCAAAAACCTTACGGACAGAACTCTTAGCTTTCTTATGTGTTTCGAGGTTTAAAAAGAACTTATTGCTTTTTTCTCCTTTTTCATACCAAGTGGCTTTCGATCGGATTATAGCACCTTTTGCTATCTGCTCATAGATAGAATCATATTCCATTTTTAACAATTCAAACTCTTCCTGGTTCTCAGGAGTTGGTGAACTACCGCATCTCTCTTCCGAAATCTTCAAAGAAGCCTCAATATCAGAGATCTTTCTTCTCCTTTCACGTGCTTTTTCTTTGCTATACTTTATTGTAATTTGTCTAATCCTGTACTTAATTAAATCCCACAACAGCCTTTTATCTATAACGTCTTTGAACTCCTCTAACCACAAAGGCATACTTTCATTTATCAGTGCAACAAAGTCGTCGTCATTCACAAGACTAGCATTAAACTTCCAGAAAGAGGGGCCGTGTTTTGGTTTGTCTATGCTGTTAAGATGGAGAAAAATTGCCGAATGGTCTGAATTTATCGAAGGAATGATATCGGACTTCTCAATGTCGTCTTGGCATACATCGCTAATCAGCAAATAATCAAGTCTTCTTTGAATGAAAGGATTTCTTTGACGCCACGTAAAGCGTTTAGAGTCCGGATTTCGTATGCGCCAAATGTCAACCAAATCAAAATCCAGGCATAAGTCTTGTATGTGTTTTACAGAATCTTTTCTGAAAGGTCTACCACCGGAACAGTCAAGATCAGAGTCGAGTGTTACATTAAAGTCTCCCCCGAGAATAATTCTAAGCTCTTCATTAACGACGCAGTCTTCAATATTTTTGTTTAACTTATCAAAAAAGCGGCATTGGTCTTGAACCTTGTTTGGAGCATAAATATTTACAAACAAAAATGGCGAACCTTGGACCTCAGCTTCAATTATAATGGAGCGGCCCTCGTCATCACAACTAATAGTTCTTGGATTAAAATCTAAGTCACTTCTCACTAGAATCATCACTCCACAACTATGATTAGAGCCGTGAGCAAAAAAGAGCTTACCTCTCCATTGTGTTCTCCAAATGTCTTCAACGTCAACGGTGCTATAGGTCTCTTGAAGGAAGATAATATCATACCTCCGTTCATTTAGCCAGGTAAAAAGGGCTTTCCTTTTCGTGGCGGCTCGAACCCCTCGCACATTAAGAGAAAGTAATTTAAAATCAAAAAGTTCTTTCATGAATGGGATCAGGAAGAAAAAATAAATTATGGGCATACAAATAATTTTCACCGCAGTGGTACAAAAAATTGAAAAGAGGTGGCAACTGAGGTGCAAAAACACACAGCACGTAGGTAGACAATACACACAAAACGCACAAATACTCACAAAACAAAAAACAACAAAGGGACAAATAAAACAAAGAAAAACAAACAAACAAAGAATACATTACACAACGAAGTTTTAAGAAAGAGCGAAAAAAGGCGGCGAGGTAATTATTACCTATAAGACGCTGCCACAGAGCTTGGAACAATCGTTTCAACTACACCAATTGTTCTAACCTACACATGCCACTCCCGTTACAAAAACAGACTGATGAAAAGCATAAACAAAGTCAAATAAAATAAACTAAGTCCAAAAAAACCTAGATTTGTCTATAAGGGAACAAATCGTCCATCGACAAACAATTTATCGGGTTCTGGTTTGCTAAAGAAAGCAGTCTTTCCCTCCTCTCTTGCTTTTTTGAGACGTGGCCACTGCTTTTTTCTTCTTTCGCTTATTTCTCTAGGAAAATCCGCGTAGACCTTAATATCGATATCATCAGCCAGCTCACGTACTCTTCGAGGAGCAACTGCTGAATACCCCGCCACTCTGTACCACCATTGTTTTCGTTGGTCGGCGTTCTTTGAAGAACGAAGCATAACACAATAGATGCTATTCTTATTCAATGACATGCAAATAAGTGGCAGGGTATTCTGCAGTTAAGCCTTCTTTCCTATTCTGTGAGCTCGCTGGAATTCAATATCTGCTGCGTTTTCCATCTCCAATTCGTCGCTAAGGAATTTTCGTACAACTTCATGCGTGTTCTCAGCTCCATCAGCAGATTCTGGAAAACCGAAGAATCTTAGGTTTTCTCGCCTGTTGTACACCTCTTGATACAATATTTTGTCCTCAAGTTCCTTGATTTTGACTTCGTTTTCTTTATCATTCTTCTTTAGGTCTTCAATTTCGGCGTTTGCAAATTCCATTGACTTACTGAGGTCGTTAACTTCGCCTTCCAATTTTCTTGTCTTCTCGCCAATCTTATTCAGCTCAGTTTCGAGCTTATTAACCGACTTCTCCAAAGCGGAGAAGCGTTCAAATATACCTTCTAGATTCTGTAACCTCCTTTCTACTCCTGCGAGCATTTCGAAGATCCGTTCCAATTGTGTCGCGATTTTTTCTGTCATGTTCAGGGCCTCCAGAACTTGATCGTCCTCGCTAAATACTACGCCGATGTTCGGTTCCGAACGAGGACTGTTGCAAGCCTTTTTTCCTTCTGGAGAGCAAATATCGCTATCAGAGCTGATACTAACACTTACCTTCGTTTTCCGTTTACAACTTTGAGCCATAGACTAGGTTTAAGGACTACAAATTTTTAAGAAAGGACAAAAAGTTCACGGGAGTGAAACATCCACGTCTTCACTCGCACGTGGTCGCCCCAGTCTCGTCAAAAACCCACTGGTTGGGCAATGGTCCGGCCCGCCAGTTCTGACAAATTAAAAGCGCTCTCAGCTTAAAGGTGATATGCTAGAACCAAGGATTAAACGGCCTGTGTCATTGCAGTCCAGTTCACTTTGTTTAATTTTGCCAATTACTCGCCCTCACTCGCCCTCAATCGCTATGGAACTTAAAGTAAGCAAAGAAATTACATGTAAATGACAAAATCAGAGATCCGTGACAAACAAATATGTCTCCTGAGCATTATTTTTGAAGTTGCAAGCAGCAGGCATCGTCTTTGAAAAACTTTTAGGCTGAACAGTTTCCAAAAACCCTAATTTCAATCTGTCTCAATCTTCTTCAGTTTTGCCCATCCGTGGCATCTGTTGTTTCAGTTATGTTATTCCTTCCTTTAAAGTTTTTTAAAACTTTAAATTAAGAGGAACATAAAAATAACCACTTTTAGTGGTTATTTTTATGTTCCTCTTAATTTAATGGGAATTTTGTAATTTCCTAATTTGGCTGAATTTCGTGACACAGCTCCTTTAACTATGAAGTGAAATGAAGAAAAAACTCACACACACACACACAAAAAAAATTATTCAGAAACATCATAAGAAATAAATGGTAGTCTGCTACAGTTCTGCCAAAGACATTTCATTTTAATTACAACACCCTAAAATTTTATCTACAGACTTAAAAGTTAGGTTAGAGTTAGAGATCATCTAGTCATGACAGAGTTTAGAAGTACATTTTAAAAGGATTAAAAGTGTTAGAGTCATCCATACTGAATCTGTTGTTCTATTAAATCAAGTCATAATACACTCGCTCAAAATATTACAGTCTACATGTATATTTCTAAAGATTCTTACAGGTGCTTTGTTTTTCCGAACGTAAATGAGTTGAATTTTAGGGAAAAGGACAACAGCGCATGTACATATGAGTGTGAAAAAGCTTCAGGTGTTAAAAACACCTGCCATGAGCTTCCTGTCAAAAACGTTTTTCAAACGATATAGTTTTTTCCTTCGGCGGAGCGCGAAGTAAAGGATTCGCGACGCTCAGGAATGTATCAAAGTTGCCATTTTTTGACAAGATTTGGCATGCAAAGTCTGTAGGTTTTCGGTTGTATTCGGCTATTTGACGAAGTGAGAGCCGAATTAGTTCCAGATATCCCGAGATCACTTCGATTTCTTTGATTTATTCTTTAACTTTTTTGAAGAAGAAAGAATTATTATTTTGGCTTTCCCGGGGTTTGAACCGAGTCACCTGTGTGACCCGTCAGGTCAGAGGAGACTCTAAGTTGAGGGATTAGCCGATTACGCTACTGCGACCCAAGGTAGTTCGGGTTATGAAAAATAGTTATGAAATGATGCACTAGTTTCGGGACAAGACTGGGCGTGCAAGTTCGTGACTTTGCGGCTTTTTTCGGCTATTTCACGAAATGAGACCGGACTACTTCGTGATATCTTGAGATCACTTCGAGTTTAGTCTTTAATTTCCTCCAGGAATAAAAAGAGGATATTACGTGGCCAGGCAGAGACACGAAATTCTCTTCGAGTGTTGAAAAACATTTCACGAATGAGCCCTCCTTTCGAATTGTTTTATGATGAATTTAATGTTACAAGATGCTGCACAAAGACATTTTGTCTTTGTTGAGTGTTACGTATTAAAATTGCTTTCATGCGTTGCTTGACTTTCTCGAACGTTCTCTACGTTTTTGGATTATTCATGAATAATTAATTAGGGCATGTTTACATTTCAGAATGAGTCAGCAGATTTGCATCAGTCACTGAAATCATAAAATATGTCGACAAGCTACTACTATTCGCCCGTTTAGTATTTTCTAGAACTTTATGTCAAATGGTATACAAGTTCCAAGCGAGTTCTTTTGACGAACTAAGTTTTTTTCCCGAGCTGGACTGTTGTGTTTAGTCAAGTGTGACGAAGGTCGATTTTCAAGTTCTGTGTTTGCAAGTTGGCGGAAGCCGTAAGATATTTGAAGTTCAAGTGAGAGTTTGTTATTGTTGGCAGAGGCTGTTTAGTTTTACTTAAGTTCAAGTCAAGTTTGTGTTGGCGGATGCTGTGTTTTAAAGCCCTGTAAAGGCTATGTTCCTCTGGTATTAAACTTCCTTGTGTTAATCCGACATCCCTGCGTGCTGATAGTCAGTGAATAATTATCCTCAAAACATTCGAACACGTAACATTGAGTTTTAGCCAATTCCATGCTCAACATAATTGACTCCTTACCCATGCCTTACAATTATCTTTAATCAGTACATGAGACTGCTATGGTGTTTTTGAAGCCTGATGTGACTAAGAAAAATAGAAAATTCTTTTTTCACTGTTTGTTTTGTAGTTGTTATCCACCGCCAGTGACCTCATATTTGACTTAGATCTAAACGTTTAGACCCAAGTCAAATTTAGAAGGATTTGTTTGGAGTCATCAGAGCATAACTGGGCTAATATCTTAGAGACAATTTGTCCCGAAACGCTAGTTTTTAGCATGTAGGCCTCTTGGATGTTGCTCTTTTCAGAATATCCTGACAAATCCCATAATTTCACAAATTAACACCTTACTCTTACCATATTTCATTTCTTACTATTCCTCCCCATTTATAATTAATCAGTTCCTCAACCGCGAAGCCGAAGTGTACGCTCCGTAGCGTCTTGTTTTAAATAAATCAGTCACTTGAGTGATTTCTTTGCACTTTCTGCTTGAAAGAATTGATTTTTGTATTTAACATAGACAGTCTGAGACTATAATTATTATTACCATACTGGATTATATAAATGTATATACTTTTTCACAATAATTAAAAAACAAAACAACGAACCTTTCAGCCAAACGAAGAGAAATCAGTCGACCAATACCACTTGCTGCTCCTGTTACCAAAGCTTCATCAAGGTTCTTTCTTGATGGCAAAACCCACTTAAAAGCCGATTGTGAAAAGGAAATCAGAACGCGGAAAGAAAGGAAGGTGAGCTCGAAACTGAGAGAAATGATGTAGCCTTTTCCCATGAAATGCAGGATCACGATGAAACCTTGAAGAGCCACCAAAGCGTAAAGGAGACAAACTACAATTATGTAGACTGCTAGTAGTCCGCCTTTTCTCTTAAATTCGTCTAGTTCTTATCTCAGCCAGCGCGATTCCAAACCACGACGCTATGTATTACAGACACGAGACGAGAAAAGACGTTTTTTCTTCTCGGGCTTACGCCCTCGTTTCTCGCGGCTAGCGGCCTTGCCGCACGCGTGCTTAGGTTTCGTGTGCAGTAACTTTGCAAAGAAAAATAAGAGACTGCTCGCAGTCTAAAGACAAACGAGGGACGTTTGTTACAAGCGCAAGGGTCGCAGAGATAATGATTAATCTGTTCTGTTACAGTAGATGTTTTTGTGCGTGATCACCTGCAGACTTGTGGTTGTGACTAAACTGTTTTTCCGGAGGACTGGAGAGAAAAGAAAAGACAAATGGTGTCGATCAAAAGAAATGTTAATGCCCTTAAGGGTAATTTTCTTGCTAAGCTTACATGCTAAATGCACGTTACCATTTCGGGTAAATTCTAATTGTAAGTTCTACCGCTGCACACGTTTAACTCACGAAAAGTAAGCCGCTATAATAATGATATCGACTAGTGAAAACAGTCACTTAAACAGACCAGTCCAAGACATTCAGAATAAATTATACCTTTCAAACGCTGTGAAATTTAATCCCGGTCCTGAATGACTCAACGGAATGAGGACTTCTGTCGTTAGGTGGCTTCACCTACCCTTCTGTCATGTGCTTCTCAAACTTACGCGTTCGTTTTGCCATATCCCCGACTTCGGCATCGATTTAGCTATGCGTGAGATAAAAAATCATGGTTTACGACCATGCAATTTTTATAAATTCTACAAAGAATAACCTTCCATTCATCACCACAGCGCATGGGGTGGGGATTTCATTGTCTTTGTTAGCCCTGGTGACTGATCTTGTTCTTCCAGGGGAGGGGATATTTGAATCTTTCTTCGCCCCATTTGGAGATATTTGACTGCCGACGCGGACGAAAAAGACTGAGACCGAACGTATGTTTCCCACTTCCACGCTTCACGCATGCGCCGTACGGTCTGGAAAGATCTGGAAATCATGGAGGCCAACGAGAACAGGCGAAAGCTGAGTGGATGTCACTGTTCAGTCTTCAAACTTTGTTTGTTTAGCGTGTTTTTGATCAATTGAACCTCTTAATAAGATACTGTGGTATCAAAGTAAACGGAAATAAAGAGAAACCAAGTCGCTTTTTGCAAGTACAATTGCCATATCAATTGCTTATCAGTGTATGGCTCATTCGCTACAATCACTGTAAGCTTATAAAATTGACTTTCTTTTCACCCTTTACTAAGAACGGTATATTCAAACTTACAAAATGTGGGCTTTCTCCTAAAGGTTTCTGTATTCTACGCAGTGTAACACGGATTATGGTTAAAACGTATAATTGCACATGTATCTTTGGTGATGCAGCAACGTAATATAAATAAAGATTGCAGAGTTTTATTTAGAGATATTTTTATTGTGCCTTTCTTGGATTCTGCT